TGCCGGGAAACGACGACTCGGCAAAAGGAGTCTTGGAACAGTGAAAGGAATTAGAGCGTAGTTCAAAGAAGATGAAATGAAGACGAAATAAAAAGAACGTTCGGAACAGAGGATTGAAAAAAGAAGCAGAGAGGGTGCGACGGGATCGGGGAAAATGGAAAAAAAGAAAAGAACGAGTCGAACTCGAAAGCCCGTGGAGGAAATGCAGTTTGCGAAAAATTGGAAGATAAGGAAAAATCACATCTCTAAATTATTCTCTCTAAAGTCATTTTATATTAAATAATTTTAAATTTCAATCAACTTTACTATACTTTCGAGAATCTTTTTATTTTGGAAAATGTCAAAATGTGGAATAACAAATGGATAAAAAGTATTTCTATTAATCTAAAAATACTTTCAAATTACTTCGAAATAAAAAACGCTATAAAATTAATAAAAGACGACAAAAGGTGAGCAACAACAAGGAGAGAAATTTGTTAATACGCGAGGAAACGTAGGAAAATTCAACGTAGGTTAACCGTTAATGAAAAAGAGAAGGTAAGAAAGAGGGAAGAGAAAAGGAAAGTAAACGAGAAAGCGTAGAATTTTTCCTCGAAGGAAATAAATAAGACCGGGATCACAGTGAACCGCGAATTGTCAATGGAAGTAGGAAAGAAAAAGCAACGCTGTTATAAAGAAAGGAACGAGAACAAAAGTTTTTTTCGAGAAAACGAAAAAGACGAAGAGAAAAACGCGATGAAAATGGAGGGGAAGAAGGGGGTGGGTGGTTCGCTCGAAGAGAAATTTGAATCGCAATTACGAGAATTAATTTTTTTTTCTTTCTTCTGCTCGATTGTTGGTGCATGAAAAAAAAAAGAAGGAAAAAAAAAGGAAACAACGATGAAAAATAAAACATGGACGGATGTGTGACGTGATGGCCACGGTTCAGAATCACCATCCTCATTGTCGTTTGCTACTTCCGGTCCCCACGAATATCGCCGACTTCCGGCTGCTAGGACCATTTTCGTGAAGAACTTCGAAAATTTATCTTACGTTGGTGAATGATGTTGAAAGTATTATTCTTTGACTTATTTTTTTCTCCTCTTTTGTACGATTGGAATGTTCATTACAACGTGGTTTATCGAATTCGACTCAAAGAATTTTAAAGATGATTATATTCGGTGTAATTGTTCTTCGTTTCTTTAATTAACTAAGAATTATTCCTTATACAATGCTATAATATGTAACTATGTTAAATTTTGGAACAGCGAATATTTTGTTTAGCTAATTAAAAATAATTTTAAATGACAAGTTTTGAAGAATGAATTAGAATTTGAAAGAAATATTATCAAAATAATCTTGAAAAATATAACGTCATTAATTCCTTTCTATTTTAATATCGCATTAAATAGAACACGTGTCAGCATTCCATCCATATCTATTCCATAAGTAATTCAACAACAAAAATCGTGGAAATTATGCATTTGTGTATTAATCTTCAAATCTGAAATAATTAAGTCAGAATTATTAATGGACCGGAATTAATCAAACGATCAAACTGCATCAATAATCTAAATGTAAATAGTTTCGATATTCGAGTCGTTAAATTATTCAATAATCGTGAATGTATATTAAAGCTTAGTGTACATCGACGAATCTACCGTTTAACGAACGCATCGAATCGATTTTCGTCTCATTTCCACGACGATCACGTACAACAATCAGAGAAGAGCTACTTATGCATACACACATATATGTGTATATCGGTATATACGTGAAAGAGAGATTACTGGCGCAATCATCAGTTCGTGAGATCCCAAGTATTCTCTTATTAAGGAATTAGCGAGCGCGTTTAACAGAGGAAGGGAAGATGCAACTTCATAGTCAGCATGATTTCCGGCTAACTGCCCCACTCAGATAAACGTAACACACTTTTGGAAAGATACGGTTACGTCGACGCAATTTAGTCTTATCGTTGCCAAAATTACCATCGAATCATCCCATTTGTTATTAAGTAATTTATTGGGTTTGTTCGCGTCGAAGAATTAAAATGATTCTTCAATTCCCAAAAATGTGTCACTTATTGTCAGAGATTGGATGAGAAATTTAATTTGACCAGTAAACTATGGAATGTTTATGAAAATTGATTATCTTTACGAATAAGACTTCTTCTTCTCATCCCTTAAATATTTTTATCCTATTATGTTGCGTTATCATAATTGATAATACGTTAAATTGGAAAATATATTATTTGAAATTTTTACTTGCACGTATTTCGAAATATTCAAGAGAATATTTCTGCTTCGTTGATTAGAAATTAATATAAAAAAAAAAGAAAGATTTGCATCTACGTAATTTTTATCGCAAATATTAAGAGTTAATTAAGTCTATGGTTATATGAATTGAGTATTGATATCGAGCATCGAACGATTTTTCTCGTGGATCAAACTATTTGTTCCAGGAAGTCGTTTAAAATACTATAAAGTACAATGACTTGCTGGAAACCCTCGTCTCTCAGAGAAGAAATATTGGGCTGCAGCCCTTCTCATTTTCCTCCTAGCTCGGTTTTCGTTCATAGAATCCGTATAACCAACGTGGGGAAACGTGGCTGGCTATTTTTCCGCAATCTCATGTAAATCGATACCACATCATCGAAAATTGCAGAAAACATCTTTTCATCTTAGAAAAAAAGAAAAGAAAAGAAAAAAGAATTAGAGAAAAACGTCGAAAATTATAAAATGAAATAATAGGAAAAAAATAAGGAAGAAAATCAAATATCGAAGATGAATGAAAATCGTTAAATTGTAATAAGTAAAAAAAAGCATTAAAAGAAATTACAATCTTGAATGATAAAGAGGCAAGACGTAATTAGGTAAGACTTTGCAGAATCAAGAATGAAAAAAAATGTGACAAGAAAAAGAAAGAGGGAAAGATGAAGAAAAGAAAGAAAGAAATTAGAACATAGTGCAAAAATGAATAAAGGAATGCGATGTCTGTAAAATTTGTAAGAGAAGTTGTGAAAAGACAATGAATAACCAAATGAATAATCCATTAAAATGAAAAAATGGAAAAATTGAACGATAAGATTCTAAAATTAGATTATCTTTAAAAATAAATGAAAAATAATATCCACTTATTAACAAATATTATTTATGTTAAAAATAAATATCTTATCGAATCAGAAGGAATTGATTGTTTAATTAATTTTCACCTGCTTTTTAATAAATCTTAACATCGTTGCAAAATCAAAAAAATATAAAAACTCTATTTTAAAAAAAGGAAAAAGAATAAATAACAACTCAGAAATGAACCATTCATACCAGTAATGACACACTCCATCCCTCTTCTCTTGGAAAGAGGACGAAAAGAAAAGTAGTAAAGTCGGAATCTCAGGCTAAAAATAGAAAGAAAAAGAAAAAGAAAAGAAAGAAAAATAATAATAAAAAAAAAAGAAAGAAGACTATGCAAAAAATTGACGTTGCTTATCAACGTCGAACGCGTAACAGTTCGAAACAAACGATTCGATGAGCACCGAGCTCTCGAACGAGGACTCCATCCTCTTCCATCCCTCCACCATCTCGTGCACGTCTGTTTTCGTCGCTCGAATCTCGGCCAAGCAGGCGGAGAAACGCAGATAAAGGTTTTAATTCCGTGCGAATGAGTCAACGTGCGAAAATCGGGCGATTGGATCGGATGGGGTGGAAGGGGGGGGGATGTGATTGCGTAAAGGGATGAAATGGGAGGAGGCTTCCATTGATGAACTGGCTGAAACAATGGTTAACTTCGCAAGTAATCGCTTAATTCCTGGATTGCCGAGTTATGTCCACCGAATTTCGATTTTCTTTCTCTTCTTTCTCTATTTCTTTTCCTTTCTTTTTCTTTTTTTTTTATTTCGAATCGACGGTCTACGTCACAGTTTTCGCCACATGATGATGTGTCGAGATACGAGTAATAAAACAAATTACTTATTAAGAATAATTTAAGAAACAACGATTACCAAGAACAACCAAGAAAGAAAATTCGATAATAATATTAATTTATCCAAAACTGGATTAAAATTACAATTATCACTTAATCGAACAAAATTCGTTCCAGTATAGATATAGAATCGACTATATCCCATCCACATATGCCGCCATTATTACGAAATTCCTTATCGATTAACAACGTCAATGAATCGCAAGAAATAACTTTTTCGACGAAGATCGGGGAAAAGAAATTCCCGAAGCGGCCGATCCCCACACGGCTCCAATGGCTTCTTCCTGGAGCCGGATATCTGGACGATATAAAAGTGGCCGCGAAATAAGGCGAAAAGAAGGCGAACAATGGCCACCGGCACGGTGAACGACTCACTTTGTTGCTTTCACTGCGAAACTTTTCTCGTCCACGCCACTTTTAAGAAAGTTTCGTGAAGAACAGTAACGGCAATCATTGGAGGGAGGGGGGGGGTGGGGGGTAGAGAGAACGATACTTGTTCTTGCTCGCTCGACCGAGTCATCGTCGAGCTTTTTCTCTCCTTTCTCTCCCCTCTTTCGTTTCTTTCCTCTTCTAGGGAATTGAAAGAGAGAGACGATGATTCTTTTTCTTTTTTTTTTTTACAGGCCGATTTTGCCACGCCACCTCGCGGATTCTTCGTAGAAATATCATCGAGCAATTATGGAAGACGAAAGCGAACGAATGAGAACGAAATTGTGAAGGTTATGATTTAATGCGATCCGGGGAACGATATGGCGCTCGAACTAGGTGGAGCTAGGTTAGATATTAGTGTAGCGATTTGTGGTGAATTGATTAAGCGGGGAATGTAATTTAGATATGAGGCAATATGAAATTTGTATCAGGTATTATATAGGTGGATGAGAAGAGCGAGATTTCGAGGAGGATTCGTTAGAGCTAGTAGATATTTTAATACGATTAATTTTATGAATGAAATCATCGTTGTCTTCCTTCTCGCAATTTGTTTTCGAATTTTCTGTGGATAAAAAGAAAGGAGATTTTTTCTTTTATCAATCAAGATTGCTCACGTGTTCTGTGTTTATAGCAGCACCGTCACGAATATCTTGATGATCGGTACCGGAACCATTGACCATACCAGATCCGGCGCCAGCACTTCCGCTTCCTTTTCCACCCACACCGCCAGCTGGTGTTTGTGGCAAGCTCTGAAAAAGAGAAAAGCAATGTTAGAATAATTAATTTGTAAGCAATTTCTTTAATTAAGAAACAGTTTTTATAATTTTGTATTCATTATTTCTTGCTAAATCGGAGAAAAATATTTAAATGCAACAAGTGTATTGTGTACATACACTTGCATTTATTTTATTGATAATAATTCATTTTATAACGTTTGCTAGAATAAAGGAAACAGTGAGACATTCTTCTTGCTTTTTGTTTTTCATGTAACAATCTGTATCTTTAAAGTATAATTTGTCTACTGTTTCATCCGCAGAAAATCAATCTTCGTTCCACGGAATCGAAGATAAACAAAAAGAACCAGTTTTGTTTTAAAGCAATCTGGAATTGAAACAGTGAAAACACGCGATGTTCATAGCTTTATCTATTATTCGTCGTCGTTACATTCTTTGCTGATACTTTTTAATAAAAACTTGGTTCCAGCATCTTCCAAGTAATTGATTACCTGCATTCCGATTTAATTAATTATCCATCATCTTATCTCAGCACCCATTAATCTTAAAGACAATTCGAATTACTCTCGATTAACAAATATTAATATTCATTCAAAATATTTGCATAAAAAAAGTAAATAAAATTTCAACGTAATTTAAAAAAAATATGAAATAATAAAACAAATTTAAAAAACTTACTTTCTTAAAATCATATCGTATTAATTAAATTTATCGTAACAATTAATTAATGGAAGGAAAAGAAAGAAGAAGAGATTAAATTATTCACACGAGAAGCAATAACTCTTTCCACACATAATCATTATCTAAAAAACTATCCCTTTTTCTAGATTCTCCCGTCTAATGTCCACTCTTGAATTCTGTTTCAACGAGATTTACAGGCGACAACGAAAAACCAGGAGAAAATAAGACGGAATGCAAAAATTACAGCGGCACGATTTAACGTTTCAAATTACCAGAGGGGGTGAAGAAAAATCCCAACCACAGCGCCGTCTGCGGAATCCGCGCTGAAATCTTGTCTCGATTTTACCCCTTTCACCCTTCCGTCTCTTTTATTCGGAAAATCTTTCCTCCTGTTTCGCCCTGTATCTCGGCTTCGAGCTTCCTCCGAACCCTATTCCGTGGAGCTTTTACGAGACGGATTAGATGGTGCAAAGATGGTCGTAAAGGGAAATTTCGTCGAACGTGTTTGCTCCTTTTTACCCTTCCCTCTGAAGCCAGATAATGTTGGTGAAGAATTTTCACGATCACCGTTCCATCGATCTTGTTTCGAAAATTTGATTAATTTTTTTTTTTTTTTTAGGAACTTTGGAAGAATTTGGAATGCGATTAAATCGTTTGTGATTGATTCAAAAAACAAAAATGTAACCAGGGGAGAATGTTGTTTAAATTTGATAAGAATTTTAATCAGGAGTTTCGAATGTGCAAAGAGTGAATTCAATTTTTTGATCATTTTGTTAAACATAACAAATTGAACAAGAAATTATTTTTCTTGTATTGTAAATTTCCATACGATAAACGTGATAACGTAGAACAATACGAATTACAAATTTTGCAAACGATTTAAATAGCTATGGATCATCTAACAGTAACTTCAGTCATTTTGCGAGCCACGACTGCGTTCCACCTGCTTCCAACAAATTTCCCTATAACGTTTGGGGAATTCTGTGTTTACGAATAAAATATATTAACGGCAATTTAGTGTTTAACAATGGACTATCGGTTATCTCGAACTATTAATTGCGCCAACTTTGTCGAGCAATGACATCACTCGAAACATAATAAATGGGGCTCGTAAGTACGGTATAATTATCAGATATGAAATATTGAGTAAAATTATAGTAAATGCTAGGAATTAATTAGCATCTATTATTAGCATCCACTTGTCCCATTTATTTGACGAATTGTTACAAATTATTTTACGAAGAGAATTTCTGTAATTTTGAGTTTAATTTTTAAAAATAAAGGAAAATTTAATAGTCAGTTATTATCATAAATTTATAATATAGTTTACATGCTCGAGAATAAAAGAATACGAAATTATACTTTTGTATCCATTGCGAGCAAACATACACAACGATTTTAAATTTCATGCTTTGTACATATTATTTAGTCGAGAGAGAACCGAGATCTCCACGAAATGTGGTTTCCTCGCCACAATCTACCTGCAGAAAGGATTAAACATATAAATACGAAAGCAAGCTCCAAATTAAGAAAATTTTTTTTCTATCTAACAATCTGTACGAGCACTATGAAAACCCGTTTATTATGAGAAATTGCAAGATTTCATAAGTGTAATTTCACATTAAAAACTTTATTACATTTTCATTCGTAAACAGGGCTTAGGAGAAACTTATCTTGATGAAAATAAAATTCAACGAATTGTGCTCTAACTTCTTGAAACAAGAATAAAAGAAAAAGAAAGCACCTTGGATTTCTTAAAGAACTACTTCAAATGTTGTTAAAACTTTATCAAAAAAACTTCTAGTAGTCTTCGACATAAAACCAGAATTCTCTTTTTCTTTTTTGACATGTCTTTTAACCATGTCAAGACCCTTTAATCTCTTTTCTCTCTAATGAAAAATTCTCAATGATACTTTAACTTCTTGCTCGAAGAAACACCTAATTTCCAAAAAAAAAAAAGCGATCTTCGTATCAAATCCCTTGCTCGAAAAGGATTGATCAAATCACTGGCATTAATGACGAATTCAAAAAACCGTGTTTACGACTTCACCACGCGATCCAATCGATAATTTTTAAGGGCCCAAGAGAATGGCTCGTAATTACGAGAGCGATATGAAATTCCACGAAATTTTGGCACGCAATATCGGTTTAATGACGCCTTTTAATGAAGAATTATGATACGCTCGTTAGATCGCTCGTCAAATTTTTCTATTTTCTGGCATTAATAATCGATCGATCGTTTCAGTCGAGGAAAAAAAAACACAATCGTGATACGACAGGACGTGGTGTCGTTTGGCAACTGGTATTTTAATTACATCCCTCTTTCGTCCCTTCCAATATTTTTTGACAAGCAAGATTAATTATTGTTTGAATCGAAGAAAAGAATCAACGAGAATGAGAACGTGGATGCTGATTCCTTGCATTGGAAAATATTTTTATTACCTCGTTGAACAATCAAGATTGCATCAATATATTAATTTATATTTCCTTTGACGAATACAAGCAAAGAATGCCAACTGTTTGAAATTTAAAAATTATTAGACTAATGAAAATTTGTTTATAGAAAATTTAAATGTAACGATGTATCCAATCTAAAACATGAGATTTATCAAATTAGATAGTAAGAATTATAAATTAAATAAAAGTAAATAAAAAATGGAATGCGCAATGAAAGATATCAAAATTATTCGTAGACGAGGATTTTACATAAATCGAATATCGTTAACTTCGTGCAATATCTCTTGCCAAATTAAATATTTAGATCGCACGTTGATAAATAAAAAAAATTAATACACGAAAAATGATATAATTGAAGAAGAAATTGCAGAATGGATATCTGTCGAATTTGATTGAAACGGAACTCCCAACGATTGGAGAATGAAAAAGAAAATTTAATCAAACATATGTTGTATTGTATTCAATTCCCGATACACAAGATTGTTATAAAGAATATATATATATATACACATAGTATCCCGACACAGAGATTGCAATATCGATCAAATGAACAGAAAATAGAAAGAGCTTTGATCTGACGCGGAAGAATAGACTCGCCAATCAATCCACAGTTCAACGTGACATTTCGCATCAGCGGTGTTACACATTCTATAGAGAAATTCCTTTAATCCAACGAAATACTAATTGCGATCCATTCAGAATTAAAAAGAAAGAACAAAAAAGAAAAAAAAATACTGGAACTTTCTTTTATACAAAAATGTTCAATACAATTCTTCTTCTTCGTTCCAATGTAAAATTCAATGCGATCCACAATCATTCACCATCATTTTTCCAAGTTCAAACAATACCATAGTACTCCTTCCCCTCCCCCTAAAAAAAAAAAAAACAGAGTACTCAGACAATCGATCCAAATTCCACAGAAAATGTGAACGATTTCAATTCAATTCCAACAAAAATGGTTGGAAAAACGAAGGAAAATTCGGTAATTACGAGATCAAGAATCACGTAGAGATCAATCCATTAGCGTCACTCACATTGGCCAGGTATCTGGTCATTCAGCTGTAATTCACGTTCGAAAACGCGAATTTAATCGTTCAAAAAAAAAAAAAAGAATCGGGATCCACGCGTGATCACAAACGGTCTTGTAATCATAAACGAATAATCATAAAATCGATAACATTCGAAGCTACGTTCCGTCTAGGTCGCAAGAAGGAAGGAAGGAAGGAAGGAAGAAGGACGACCTGGATCACTTCCATTAAAAACGCTTTCAAGAATGGGGGGGTCGCGAGTCGATAAAACGATATTTGGCCTTCCTTAATGGATCGTGGCCGATCGAATGGCACTTTGCAGGGAGGGGAGGGGCAGGCACGAGACTCGAACAAGTGGAAGGAAACGAAACAGAGAGGGAATCCGTGGAGCGACAGTAGTGTCGAAAGTGAGGCCTCGCTGGTGCCCCCCCCCCCTTTTCTGCTTCCCCCCTCCAGTTCCTATCCAGTTGGCTTTTATTTCGTGTATTGGTAATAGCATGGAGTGGTTCGTCTCTCTCAAAGTAATAGAGGCTCGAAGACCCTTTAAGTGACGTTCGCCACTTTACGATCGCTCTTTACAGACGATCTCTACCTCCCACCCACTCTTTATTCCACGCTCGATCCACCTCCTTGCTATCTTTTATCGAACGGATGAAAAAAGAAAAAGAAAAAAATAAATAAAAGCAAGGAAGAAACGCAAGGCAAGACAAGGACCTCAGTCGGATAACATTTCTTTCCTCTTTGTTTTTTTCCTCGAGGAAACGACGGTGGGGGATAGATCGCGAGAGATGAGAAGGAAATGGAAGTATCTTTCGACTCGACGATCGAATAATTTTAAATAACGTATTA